CCGACAAGTAGAACACATATCTCTCTATGTGCTGCAATTTCCTTTCACATTACACAGAGCACAGGGGAAGTCAATGTCTGCATCCCTGAGGTATGCACAATGTGGCAGGTGGCCCCTCTGATGACAAGTAGGTCTGGGCGATGGAGCTTTTATGTCTGCCAGCTGTAAGGATTAGCAGTAATCATCAAACACTGGACCACAAACCAAGACACTAGAGCTAGAGATGAGAACTGTATATATTATATACAATTGATGTATATATGTGTGTTGGGGGGGTTACAGAAAACTCTGTATGTCTTCATGTATGTATGAAATGAACGGGGTAACACAAAGCTTACAGCTGCCCCTGCTTTGGAGGGGCTGTCCCGCTTTTGAAACCATTCCTCCTCTAAAAATGTATTAAGAATTTACCAAATATATCAGAATGCATTAAACTCTTTGTGTAATCCCAAAATTATTGCACTTGCAATTTGCCTACTTTCTTTGTTCTAAAGGTTGTCCTTCTTTCCCATCTCAGAAAGTTGGGAGATATGGTAAAATAATGGTATATGTGGCTGCTGTGGGGATGGGGGGGTGAAGATAATTGTGTACATTGCCACTCTGGGGGGAATGGCCTCAATCAGATTAGCATGTGTGATTGCTAGCTGCTAGCTTTTGGAAAGATCTGCCTAGATAGTGACTGTGTGCCGTTATATGAGTTTGTCAATGTGCTGTTTGTGTCATGAGCGCTGCAAAATAGGAGGTTAGTTTGTCCATTAAGGGTAAAGTAACAGGTTCTCTTGATAGGGCATCCCTATACAGTGATATTTTACTCACCCGTGCTCCTCCCCTGCTCAGAATCTAAATCTATGCAATCTCCCTATTGATCAGTTTTAGAGCTTACTCAGAGTTTGTTTCCTTCCCCTCCCTCATGTGAGCCCTGCATCCTGGGAGTAAGAGGAGAAGGTCACATGCACCCACATACCTGGATATACTGGGTATGTCTTTGCACTCCTGCAAATGAATGTGGATCAGCAAGGGAGAGCCAGTATCAGTGGGTGGGGACCCTATAAAGAGTACCTGTCGCTTTGCCCTGACATTATAGCAATAATTTGTCCTGGTTTTTCTGTTTTGGTAGACAAAGTCTTTTTTGTGTGCAGTTGCAGTGCTTCTTTGTTGGCTAACTCAAACTTTCATAGAAACGGGCTTTCAAAACAAGTTGCTTTATCAGACATTATTTTTTTATTATTATTTTCTAGATCCATGCATCTATAAAATTACTCAATCTTGAAGGCATTTCATTTGTCTTTTTTTTTTTCCTTTTTAAACTGTTGTTTTGGATGTACTTTACTGTGTGGAATCTTTGTTTTTAAAATCAACATTTTAATAAGAGCTCCTGGCAAAAGTGTTTGTTCATAACTCTTGCAGAGGGGCTAACCCTGCACTGCTATACTCGCCCAAACCGCCGCGCCGGCTCACTGCTTCTCCAGTCTCTGAAGCCTGTCTCCTCCTACGCAGCAGCATTGGAATGTCCCAGAGCGTCCTCACATCTACCGTACATACAGTCTATAGAATGTGATTATTTACAGGACATTAGACCTCTGCAGAGGAGGGGGAGGGAGACTGGAAGGACCGGTCTAAGACCAAGCCAGCTCCAAAGATCAGGATAGATCAGATCAAGTATAACTGGGTTTTTTTTATTTTAGGACTAGCTCACCGTAGCACTGTAGCCCCACTGCAAGGATTAAGGAAAATTCTGCACAGAGTTCTGCTTTAACATATTTTTCATATTTAGATATTTTTATAATGCTCAAATTATCAAAATAAATTATAGATATTAACCTATATATTGGAATTTTTTGTGTGATTTTTGGGGTAATCAGTTTGTTACAATCATTTGTGGCATGCATAGCAGCAAATATTGTGTAGGTTACTTCACATTTAAAACTATTTATATACTAAGGCTGGGTTCCCACCTGGGCGTTCCAAATACAAGCGTTTTATGCTCGTTTTTTCAGCACGTTTTTACACTTTTTTAGTTCAGTGAAACTAATTTTTTGTTTTGTTATTTTTCCCTTTTTTCTCTATCTGTTTTTAAAAACATTTTAAACTTCCCGCCGGTTCCGCCACCCTGCGACGCGGACGCTCGCAAAAGAGGACACAGCCCCTACACGCGAAAAAGAAGCTCAAGTACTTTTTCGCGCGTAGGGCGCTTTTCAGCGCGACAAATCGCAAATATTGCGACAAATATCACTAATGCTGGGACAGTTTTAGAAATGTCCCAAAGTTGTAAAGATTAAAGCAGTAGAACATGCAATGGTTAATATAAGACCCTTTATTCAGTGGCCTTTGTCTTGTTTTTAAGCTGCCCATACATGCAAAGAATATTAGCATTCAAAAGCCAGCTTAAGCTTTCTTTACCGATGTTCAGACTGCTAGGGGACCAACAACTTTTTAGGCTGCAATACCAGCTTAGTTATCAAAACACAGGCATGGAAGATGCAGTCATTTGCAGGGTTATTCACGAAAGGGTGAAGAGTTTGGAGAAGGCAGGAAAAGTGAACAATCTAGGACAACATAGTTTAACTGGAAAGTGAGCTGAATGGGAGAATTTTTCCAAATCCGCTATGTTGTCGTAGATTGGTCACTTCTCCTGCCTTCTCCAAACTCTTCACCCTTTTGTGAATAGCCCTGTTGATGTTCACATGGACACATGTATCAAACACATGCAGCTCTTGTACAATCTTTTGCATTCCACACCTAAACAGCATGAGCAATTAGTATGGTCCTGGAGCATCTACATGTGGCAGACTTAGCCACTACTATAGATGCCAAACCCATTTCATAAACGTTTGTCTGGAGCTAGGAGAAGGAAATCTCTGGAATTTTTGGCATTGTGATCTACTTATGTTTAGGAAAAGTCTGCTAACACATACTGACACAACAAACAGTAAAATATATAGAGCATTACTACAGCACTGATATGCATGACTCCGTCCACTCTCCTGAACTGAGGAATAATCCTCTTATTTTGGGATGTATGATGACATGAGACATGTGAACACCTTCTGTTTTATGAAGGCTTTACTGTGCTATGCACTGATAAAGGTTTAAAGCAGAACTAAAGCCAACACTTTTTTTGAGTTCTGGGTAATGTAAGGGAGAGTTTTGACCCCTGTCAGCATTTTTGTAATCTGTGTCCCTTTGGGCATATTTCGCTTTACTTCTTGCCCGATAGTCACAACAAGAAGGTAAAGGAAATTCCTCCAAAGGAGGGAAAGCCTTGGTGGTCAGCAGCGTCACCAGAACTAGTGTCCCAATTGGAAGACTTCCCATCTATTCCTGTTCTGGTGACAATTCAAAATTTGGAATTTTCTGTCACTTTCACTCTCAGTGATAACGGTCACCAGGAATAATAGAGAGAGTGAATCGTCCCAACAGGGATATAGACAGCAATAAAACCTGACTAATCCCTCTCCACTCTATCCAAAGCTTAAAAAAGGTTTAGGACTCCAGTTGCCCTTCAATTATGAGAAATGCAGTTTCTTCTTGTGGTTCTTAAGGTTCCTTTTGTATGTTCTGATTTCCTAACAAAAAATAGTGGTTGGTTAAAAGGAAGCTGACCATGTTATCTGTACAGTGTGTATGCATGCAGTACATGTATTAGATTGTGAGCTCCTTAAGAGCGGAAGCCAGCGTGACTAGTCTAACAGGGCCATTCACAAAAGGGTGAAGAGTTTGGAGAATGCAGAAGAAGTGAACAATCTGGGATGACATAGCTGAACTGGAAAGTGAGCTTACTTAGAAAATGTTTCTGCATCAGCTATTTTGGCCTAGATTGTTCACTTATCCTGCCTTCTCCAAACTCTTCATCATTTTGTGAATAACCCTGTAGGTATTCTTTAAAGAACTACATAAATAAATTGTCTCTGTGGATTTTCCAACTTGCTAGAATTTTTTAGTGTTGGTTGAGTAATCATTTACCTTCCTCTACAATAAGGGTCAATCCTTTACTGTGTGTGCCAGTGCTCATAGCTGTCCAGTTTTAATCAAAACACTATGGTTAGTACAATGATGTGGCCCTATGTGAGATGACAGGCATATCCCATGTCATATCCCATCATTGTTGTGAAATCTGTTTAAGTAGTATTATTCATAAATCAAAAATACCCCTCCAAAATCAGTTTTCCTAAAGAGATCATACAATGATGTGAATTAGTTCAGCATGCTGGAAGAATTTAGCGATTGACACAATCTCTGTTGCTTTGCAGCGTTCCTTGTTTTTCCATGAAAACATACACTACCTCACTACAGTAAGACATGCTCGAAACTGGTGACCCTCGGATAATCTGTATATCACATTATTTCAAAATCATTATAAATAAATCAAAAATCCTATCAATAAAAAAGTAAATTATGCAAAAATCCTGCTTCCCAGACATTTTCTCTATATCGCTTTCATGTAAGCAAACCTTACAAACCAAATTGATTTTAGGCTTTATACCAAATGATACTGAATATAATTTGTAAGATATGTTGCAATTTTGTAAACAATCATACATTGCCATAATTGCCATAACTGCCACAATTATTTCACATGATCTGTGTAGTAAGTTACATTCACTACTATTTGGTAGAAAGCTGGCTTACTGCAGATATTCTCAGTCATGCTGTAACGCGGTAGAGAAGTCACCTTTGTATCACAGGCCAAAGTAACAAAACAAAGAAAGTTTAAATGATCCATAGTGTCTGTCGATTTACATTGTTTCTAAACAAATTGAGTTATTTACCAGGAAGTTAAATTAGGTGGTGGGTCAGGGTACCCAAACCGTTACAATACAGCAACTCTGAACCAAGGAAAAGAATTGTACCAGTAGAGTCCAACATTCTTTTCTTTGGTTCAAAATAGCTGTTTCTTAACACAAACAGAAGCACCTGGTTGCACAGTACATTTAGAGTAATTGTTTTAGAGCGCTTGCTTTCAAAAATAAGCACACAACTGCTACACTGTAAGTACTCACACATGCACGGAGTCTCTAGCTTGCTTGGTTGCTGTTTTTTTGCAGTCTGGAATTCTGCTATCAAGTGTTTGGATGAAGAGCAGACAAAGTATTAGAGCCCCCTCCTTTATGTGAGCAAGCCTCTAACAAGTGGAATGAGAGGACGCACCCTCCCAACAGAAAGAGGTGAGCACAGAAGGGGCTGGCCAGAGGATTCAAAGGGAATATCATTTATTCAACCTCCCCTCCAGTGCCCACACTGCTCTAGCTAGGTAATCTTGAGATGTTTGGCAGGCAGACACAGAATGATGTTAGAATGGAGAGCTAAACACACGGAACTGTGTTGAGCAACATTTGCAATACATTTTTTTATACTTCTTCTACAAAGGTATTTTATGCTTGAACGGTATGAGCAAACTGGAATCTGATGCTGGTCTGCCAACTCAGAGATAGATATTGACTCTGAGCTCAAAAACATATTATTATTATTATTATTATTGTTATAATACAGGATTTATATAGTGCCAACAACAGTTTGTGCAGCACTTTACAATATAAAGAAAATATTACAGTTACAATACAAGACAAGATGGTAAGGAGGGTCCTTCCTGTGAAAGCTTACAATCTAAAAACATAACAGCAAAGCATAGCTCCAACTAGCCCTCATTTGGAATTAAATCCCTCTGCCCCTTATTCCTCATCAAATGTCCATCTTTTAGCTCTGTTGTATAGATCTGTATGAATAAATGTGTTGTTTACAGCAAATTTGGCCATACACGTTATGCGAACCATACACTGCTAAATTTCTGTATACATCCGGAAATCTACACTGGTGGATCAAATCTTTCTGGACCATTCGATAATGCCATCAGAGACTTGTCGAATGTTGTCCGAAATTTCGTTGGATTTTCATTTTGACTTAACATTCAGTTTTGGAGTTTCCCCGAATGAAAACCACATTCACTGTTAGAATTCAATTTGTTGGAGAAAAGTCTACTCCTTCGACTTTTTTCATCACTTTGGTTGAAATTGATCATTGATTTGACCCCATCAACTATTAGAAAGTTGAACGAACATTTTGTGAACGATTAATTTTGAACAAACTTCTACTGGTGTATGGCCAGCTTCAGTCCCGCTGACTGGGTGAGAGAAATCACTTGATACCCCCATCCACACTCTAATGAATCCCATCTGCTTGCTTCTGACTACACACAGTTGTTGGAATACCCAAAGTGCTCCTTCCTGCCACTGGGAGGAGGACCATCTAGCTTGCTGCATGTCACATCAATGTAATGAAACAGCATTACATTTTCCATCAGGCAAATGCACCTAGTGCTCATTTGGATAGCCTGCCAGTCACAGGCATGGATAGCCGTGACAGACCAGGAGTCTCCTGGCCAGTGAGTCACAGAGCAAGGTTACAGGAAGCATGACAGACAAGAACAACTTACCTATGCAGATATGCAAAGACAAATTCTTTCAAGATATGAAAATAACTTTATACGCTTGCAAAAAGAAAATTCTGTCTTGAGATTAGATTTAGCATGTGTCAGTCTGGAGGTAGCTGTAAAAATCCAGGACATATTGCATCAAACATATATCCTGCTACACTGGCCACATATAAAATCCAAAAGTTAGGGAAATATTTGCCATAAACCCAACTCTTGAACTTAACTTGCAAACATTAATTTGCAGCAGCCAAAATTGAAAATTTAAGTGTTTAGCTATTCTTTGTGCAATATTATATACAGTATATAGCTCAAGCTGAGGCAGATAGATCCATAAGTAATCGGTAATTATGGAAACTGCAGATGCATCTTATCAGACAAATGCCTTCATCGATAAATGGGACACTTTTTGGTTGGAACACAACGTGCCTGTTGTATATCACACATAAGCCTCCAGATAAATGGCTCACACACTCTAATAGTTCTTTGGACCACCTTTAGCTTTGATCACGGTACCCATTTGCAGTGGCATTGCTCGGATAATCTTATCCAATATCACAACATTTATTTCCGTCCAGAGTTGCATTCATTTTGCGACAAGACCTTGTAGTGATGATGGGAGAGTCGGAACACTGCATAAAGTCTTCTCCAGCACATCCCAAAGATTCTTAATGGGGATAAGGTCTGGCATCCATGTGTGAAAATTTTGACTCATGCTCCCTGAACCTGATGAATCTGGACATTATCATCTTGGGCCATACCTATGCTATCAGGAAAGAAAATATCCATTGACAGAAAAACCTTGTCATTCAGTATATTCAGTTAGGTAGCTGACCTCATTTTTGGGGGCTATAACGTTGCTGAACCTAGACCTGAACACCTGAAGCAACCACAGATCATAACAAAACTAAATCCAAGTGGTAACTTTTTGGGGGGCCAGGCAGTGGATATTGAATTCCATCAGCTACATACAGTAGTATATACACTACATGCAGCCAGCATGGCAGAAATTCAACTGAATCATACAGTTGATACATTTTTGTGGAAGTAAAAAATGCATGTATGAGCACTAGCACATGATAACATGCAGCAATACACACTAAAGGCTTTTGAGATTTTAAGGAAAGCCAAGGGCAATGGGCTACCAGAGCAAATGATATAGGAGAGTAGATTAGAAAGCTAATTTCTATCTACACAAACACTTACCACTCTCCACTGAAACCCCTTTTATGTGGCCCTTTTATTATCATCACCTAATTGCATGTAAAGGTTTTATTTCACAGCAGCTTCCTTAAAATTGATCAATCTGGTGCCAGTTAAGCAAATGAAGGCAATTGTTTGCTTGCTAGGGTTGTGCATTCTCCTGCTGCACTTCAACAATAGCCGAATAAAACTATGCACAGAGGTGTTGCACTCCATCAGACACTATGCTTTAAAGAAAATCTAGACTGAGAAAATATGTTGGTTGTTATTGCTGAACTCTTCCTTTGCAAATATTAATTCTTTGGCTGTCATGTTAATCCAATAGCTTCAATATTTTCTGGGGCTCTATTCTGTATTGTAAATATTAATGCCAGTCACAAGAAGCATTTTTAGAAATAAAAGCAGCAATGCCAGCCTTTGTATTTTCTGAGCTCAGAATCCTTTAATTTAAACACGTGTTAGAAAAATACTTCAAGATATGAGATCGATATCCTGCATGTATGAGGTATATTTATATGTTTTCTCCAAAATTTGAAATCCCTATGAATATGTATCAATGCCTAAGTATATACATAATTTATCAAACACTTATTTTATTATACAAGCTGGCCATAAACAGAAAGATTTCTCATTGGATTCCACATAGAGTTATTGAAACAAACTAGTTATGATAAAAATAAAAATTGTATCAATGCTCAAAGATGCAAAACATTGCTATTTGAAAATCACGAGATCATCCAGAACATAATTTGCCATTTCAATCATATGTAAGCAGATTTACAATACAACGGGTCAGTATTTGTTTGTGATTGTTACATTAATAACATCCCTTGGTGAAACATGTGGTATTGTAATAAAATTATCAACATTTTGATTCCTTCTTTGTCAAATTCTTAAATCATTTAAAGGCATTAAGTTGTGCAGTTATTGGTCCACAAAATGATGGGATTGAAATTACCCACATCGAACCCAGTGGGAAAATCTGATCACTTTCAAAGATATTGCTGTCATTTCTTTACATTTTTGATTAAATCTTTCAATAAACTGTATTAAAGCCTTCAATGTATTGTCAAGTTTCAGCTTCATAGTCAACCAAATACTGGTGGTTGATTGAACTTGTGGGTGGTAGATAGCTTAGATTCCATTGGTTACTTGTGTCTGCAATTACAATTCCCTGCGGATTTAAAGTGGTTGAAATTGACTGGAAATTGCCATGAGTATGGCCAGCTTTAAGCCTATATCTGCAGATTTTCTATAGTCAGATGGAAAAAGTACAACAGATTCCTCCATCTACGATAAACTGTGTGCCGCTGGGTCAAGCTTCAGTATCTTGCTAGTCGGCCCCACTGGCCCTCAAAACACCTGAACATTGCCTGCATCCAATCAGATTGTTTAGGTATTTTAAGAACCAGCCGGGCCGACTAGCAAGATACTGAACCTTGGCCCAGTGGGAGAGTCCTCCATCCACACAGTTTAGCGTATATGGGGGAATCTGTTGCATGTTTTCCATCTGACAATAGAAAATCTGCAGATAATCTTTAGGTGTGTGGCCAGCTTTCAACAGAATTTTCCATCATCCTAGAAATCAGTTTGTTCAGATTTGCAAAATTCAGTCATTTGCACGTTTTCATTTTTTTTAGGCAGGTAAATAAATATTGCATTGGAATATTTTATATTTACATTACCAGTCAGCAAGTAGAGCTCTGGGCTACTTTTTCATGTTTTCCAATTTTTTATCATTTGCAGTATACATAATTTAATTGAAGACTGGGATTGTTGTCATATGAAATGTGCTGTCATTCTGTTTTCTGTCCAATGTATGGCTGTAGACAGACATCAACAGTGCTCACATAGCATAGTGGGGCGGCAAACATGATACAGAGTGCAGTGCTGGAGTATGGAGAAGGCAAGTGTGATAATAGTTAGGCCTGAACTATATGGAGAGAACAGGGGAGTTGTGGTGAACACCGTGCCACCCTCATTTTCCTCAAAAGAGGGGAAGCCACTCGGAACTGCAGCTGTAGCAGACCCGTAAGATCCCTGTAAAGCACTGTAGTAGCTCCTGCTACTATAGTGTTTTCCAGGGTCCCCATGGCCCTGCTAGGGAAAATGTATGTATACTTACAGTGTGACAAGCTGGGCCAAGGTAAATATAATAATTACAGCTGGTGTTAACCAAAACCAAATTCCAGCTTTTTTTTTTTTTTAGATTTCAATAGAGAAGGGGGGCTTAAGTTCTGTCTGTAACCCCAGAGGGGATGTTTCCTGTGACATCCATAAGAGTAATTGGGAAAAGTAGTTTGCACAGAACATGAAGGCACAAATAGGAAACAAAACTGCCAAAAATTCTAACCCTTCTTCATCTAATAAAAACAAGTTTTATTGTGCCTCTGTTGGACAGATTTTCCATCACTTTCTTCCCTGACAGAAAGTGAGAGGAAGTTTCCCCAACAGGGTCATAGACAATGAGAAACTGACAGAGGCTCTAACTCTTCCTGGCTCTATCCAAAATTAGATACAGTAAACTCTATGTTATCCGTTATTCAACTAATATGAA